TCTCTCTAAAATCAAAATATATCCTTATGTAAAGATTCAAAAATTACAGAAATAATAAAATATTTGCTATAACTATAATGTTTGATCTAAGATGTAAAAGCAGAATATGAGTGGAATAGACCATTCTAAGGGCCTGGGGTAAGGAACTACAGGACCAAAGAGGGGAGAAAAATTGTGATAAATGTTCTATCTGCATGGAATGCCCTTCCCTCCCCAATTCACCTACAAAGTGCCTACCTGTGCCTTAGAATTCAGCCCAAGCTTGTTCAGGCCAACCTCCCCTAATCAAGTCAAATTCACCTGTTACATATGCTCAGAGTACTCATTTTCTAGCACTTACCACCGTTGCAATTATACATTTGTTTGTGGAACTACTTGATTAATTCTTGTGTCCCCGATTGGAATGTAAGCTCTAAGAGGGTAGGAATATGTCCAATACAACCATTGTCCCCATCACGTCTGGTATATTACAGGAACTAAAACACATTGCTGAATGAGATGAATGAATACATGTACTGTGACAGAATAAGTTTAGCATTCATTTTGATTACTTTTATTTATTCTAGAACTGTTGCTATTTATAATAGCATTCCTAAAACATTTCTTTTTCTCTTACTATTTAGCAGGGAAAAGGAAGCCATAGACAGACATACAGCTGCATCTGAAGCCTCAGAGAGTTATCTCACCTTAATTAAATGAAAGGATAATATTGCTTTGGATAAGGCAGTCAAATATTCATAAATTCTAATAGACAAGTTAATTGTTACAAGAACAAAACATGTTACCACATAAAAACTGCTAATAGAAAATCTAAATCCTTAGAGTGACCACAAATCACACTTGGAGGGCCATGCTCTGTAATGGTAATATTAGGAGTAGAAAGTGATAATTTCCAGAAAGTGGCAACTTATTCTTTTTTTTTCTTCTTAAATGACATTATACTAGGGAGACTGATTTTATTGACATACTAAGCAAAAATGTTAGGGGAAGTTTATGATGTTTCTATTAGAATAAAATGAATACTAAAAAAAATATTATCAATATTCTATTTTTATCTTGTCTATACAAAGATTGATTACATAACTAAGTCTGGACTATAACAAAGCAGAATATGGCTTCTGGGCAATGAAAATAACCCTACAGTCAAACAGGAAATAAGGGTATAGAAGTAGGACAAAACAAAGTAGAAATCAATTGTACCAAATCAGTGATTTAACATCAATTCATGGGATTCAGCACATTTAGTATATCCTTTTTCCAAAAAGGAAGTTTAAACTATAGAATCAATAAATTATGTTTTGACATGCATTTTTTTCACTCTTAAAGTTTCTATGCTAGAAGGAAATTATTTGTTCACATTTTGTACCTTTTAGGTAGAATGGCTGTGGATGTGAATACAGAAATGAAGAAATGAAAGAGAAGGTAAGATAGAGGCGGTTGACTCTATGTCCCTGGAATTACTAATCCATAAACAGCAAACTCCTCTGCATGCACTGCCTTCTTTAGGAAGTTGCTCTATTTTTTTTGCCCTAAACTGAAAGTTGGCTGTCTCTGAGGCTCTCATTTTCCTAACATTTGGGAAATTCTCCAAAATGGTGCCTAACTATTTTCTCTCATCACACATCGAGGATATAGGGTTATGTCCACCTAGTTCCCTGTTGCCACTTCCCAGATGACTTTTGCTCTGTAGCCTTGTAAACAAATACAAAACCAAACCATCCATCACAAAACACACCTGTTTCTTTGTAGCTCACGCTGTAATACCCTTTTCACATTCCCTTCATCCTTCTGATCCTGTAAGTGCCAGCCTGCTACCTTTCACCTACCACCCTCCTTTTCTCCAGCTTCTGAAAAGCATTGCTCCTCAAACTTTAAGTACATTTGAATCACGTGGGAGATCGTATTGGTGTTTGACTCAGTAAGGACACTGAGAGATCCTTATAACTCCCATGAGAAGCTGTGGATCACTTTGAAGAGTGAAGCAGTAGATGCGCTATTTCTGCTATTCTGTAATCTACTATAACCCTAATTCCCTGTTTGTCCTTTGGCACCTGTTGCTTCGTTTGTTAATATCTACAGTTCCTTTACTGCTCCTCTTCTTTCTTACCCCGCCAATCTCCATCTCTTTCTCTCTCAACTGCTTAAAAAACAAAACAAACAAAACAAACAAGTTAGCTCTTTAGGCCCCCTACCTACCATCCTAGGTGTCCCTATTTCACAGCCCAACTTAAAAAAAAAATTTGTGTTTGCCAGCGTCATTTCTTCTCCAACCTGAATTGCAGGCCCATCAGTCCACCAACACAGTGTTCACAAAAGTCACCAATGACCCCATGCTGAGTGGTCAAGACATTCAGTTCTCACCTTATTTGAACCTCTCCACAGTATTTGTTAACCACTCCTAACATGTCTCTACCTTGTCCTTTGTGACACCATAGTCCCCTTCTTCACCTCTTAGCATTCTAGCAACACTTTTTCAATTGGTTTTGCAGGACCATCATCTCCTATCCAGCTATTAAATATTATATATTAACATTCTTTAGTATGGTCCAGTCCTTGTTTTCTAGTACATATTGACACCCTATAACCTCCATGCTCTGGTCACATAAATGCAAGTGACTTCTGAATTTGTTCAATTTATACTTCTTTGAGATACAAACCCCAATATCCTATGGCCTATTTGACATCTTCTATTAGATGTCTCAAAAGTACCTCAAACCAAAGGAATCCAAAGCTAAGTTAATAATTGCCCACCAGTACATGCCCCTAGCACATAGCCAGGTACAAAATCCATAAAATTGCTATGTTTTTTGATATATCCTCTTCCATCACTCTCATATATCCACTCCATCTTCCAATACCTACTAAGTATCTTGGGTGTCTATTCCATTTTCTTCATCACCACAGTCTCCTCCACAGTAACGTCAATAATTACCATCTCTTGGCTGGGCTACTGCAGGCGACTTCCTCAGGAGTGCCGCTTCCATCCCTTCCACTCTGCTCCTACCTCTGTAACCCATCCTACACCCAGATATTGTTGTTTTTGAAACACGAATTTGATCATTTGTGCCCTTCTCCCCTGATCATACTGAACTGGTTTTAGTCCCTCGTACCTGCCAGGCTCCTTCCTCCTATCGGGACGATGCTTGTAGGGACTGGCTCATTGGCGTTACCACCCAAAACATCTCTTGATTTCATTAATGTGTAGAGGATAAAATATCCTATACTCTAATTGCATGACATTTAGCTGGACAGGCTATCTCTGATATTATTAAAAAATAAGGTGGAGGGAGATGAATTAGGAACATTGCAAAGAACAAAAGAGTATTTGCTAGAATATTTAGATACGAGTGGTAGAGAGAGTTAAAGATTCATAGGTTGATGTAGAGAGTGGCAGAGCCAATGAAAAAGTTTCAGCTAAGGAAAATAAGTTTAATTTATTGATGAACTGAATTTGAAGTAACAAATTTACTCAGTGGAAATGGCTTCAAGGCCTTTTAAGATTTAGGAATGGGCTGTTGCTGGTGTGGCTCCGTTGGAGCACTGCCCATAACCAAAAGTTTGCGGGTTCCACCCTGGTAGGGGCGCGCGCCTGGGTTGCAGGTTTGGTTCTTGGTCCAGATGCACCCGGGAGGCGAGCAGTCTAAGCTTCTCTCGCAACGATGTTTCTCTCGCTCCCTTCCCTTCTCCCTAAAAGCAATGAAATTAAAAAAAAAAAAAAAAAAAAAAAAAAAGAATATTTATGGTGGGGGCTGTCATCCAGGTATCTTAAACTGTATGCCCTTCTGCTCCTGAAAAACATACTCCTCTGTGTTCACTATCTTGGTTAACAGCACAGAGTCAGAAATTCTGGAGACATTTAAGATATTTCTCTCTTCCTCTGTTTCCTTTATATATAATCTATCGTCTATATTTTGCCTCTTGCCCATCCCACTGCCGCTTCCCTGGACTTACACCTGCAACCCTCCCTGCCACTCCCTCAACCAGTCTTGATTTCCTGTTCCCTAGTTTGCACTGTCTTCCCAGAGTCACCTTCCTGCTAAATACATTTAAAAGGCTTTCGTTGCCTGCAAAGTAAAATCTAGACCCTTTATCAATGCTTTTAAATTCCTACTCAGACGTGGCGGTCCGAAGCCTCCCCCCTGGGAAAGTCTGGAGTCTCTCTGGTTCTCGGCCAGCTCCCCGGAACTTTCAGCCGAAAGCGGGGTGAGTCATTGTCTCCCCTGCAGGTGAAGTCACGCTCCCTGTTGAGCATTACCCTTTAGGTAGGCTCGCTACAAAGCGTTTGGCTACACAAACTTCGTCCCACTTCTTTCACGGTTGGCTCTGTGGCCACAGAATCCACCTCTTGCCCTCAAGAAAATGGCTCCTGCGGGGCGTCCTTACGTCTCTCGTCATCACGTGCTGGGAAGGTGGGGCCCTCAGGGGAACTGATGGGGGCGGGGCCAAGTGGCATGGGGCGGAGCTACACGGACAGGGCGGGGTCAGAGCCGGTCCGCGAGCTTTAGCTATTCAGCTGGTGCGCTGCCGGCTCCAGCTCGGCATTGCCAGGAGGGTCCACTTGACGCTTGGTCCGGGAGCGTTCCCTGGACCGTCAGCCCAGACCAGGGACAGCTACGTAGCCAAGCGGAAGCCGGTGGCACCGGGAGTGGCGGCCAGAGCCCGAGCTGCACGGGCGGGAAGCACCCAGGATTGGGGAAGCGCGGGGAATAGTGCGGCGGCACCTCCCTTTCCCAAGGGGCCGCGTCGGCAGTCACGGGGCGCGGCACCACCGCGCACGACCCAGGCCGGGATTCCAAACGGGCAGCTCAGGCTCCACCTCTGCCCTGGCCGCCTCACCTGCGGACAGCGCCGCGCCGCGCCGCCTCCGCCGGGGTAGACCGCACCTGCGCCACCTTGCTCACCGGTCTCCGCCCGTCGCAGCCCACCTCCCATCCCCTTCGGCTCCTGTCCCTGGCAGTGCACCTGGCACCGCGCGGCTGTGGCAGCCGAGGCTTGGAGGACGCAGGTGGAGAGAGCGCAGCTTCGTGAAACCCTGCGTCTGCTGCCGCCACTGTTGTCTCAGCTGCGGACGAGTCCCGGAGACCCGGCGATCGGTGCCCGCGCCTGCGGAGGAGGCGCCGGCCGCTGGGCACCATGAACGGCAGCAGCGCCAACATCACCTATGCAAGTCGCAAGCGGCGGAAACCCGTGCAGAAAACGTGAGTGTCCAGAGCGAGTCTCCGTCGCGGGGGCTGGGCGCTCAGGCACGCGGGTGCGGGAGGCGTCCCCACCCCGTCCCCAATTCCCTGCGGTCTGGTGATTAGGTCCATTTCCGACACAGTAGAATTGAAATTCGGGGCCAAGTCGAGACATCCAAGCCTTGGATTTTCCATTTTTAATCGTTGCATTTTAAAAATTGCCACCCCGACCCCAGCCCACATGCACCCTCTTACGCCCCCGCCCACTTGCAGCTGTTTTCAGTGGTCCTAATTTGTTGACAGCTCTGCTGTTCCTGTGGGGCTGTTGGCTTAGTTAACATAAACCCGTCTTGAAATCCCATTCCACTTTTAATATCCTCTTAAGTTAGGTTGGAGGACGGTCATAATTCTCATTCCTGGCAGGGCGAGGTGTTTCAAAGAGCCAAACGCGCCACCTGCAAGAAAGGGGTTGAGGGCTTCTGAAGGTTGATTTTTGGTCTGGTGCAACTGGCTTTCTGTTGTATTCTTATTTACTTATTTGGAAGTAATTTTGTAGGGTTCAACCTGACCATATCGGTAAAATGTATAGAGATGGCAGCAGGTATGAGTGAGTATAGTGGGTCAGGTACAGTGGGGGATTTGTTTTTTGAGCGACCTTTTTGGGGAGCTTACACTTTTGTGGTGGCGTTAGGGTCTGAAAAGTAACAGATTTGAAACTGGGAATAAGTGAAACAGACGTTTTTATTCTTGGTACCTTTCTCTAGTTCCCCTTTCCTCCTCCTACAAAGTTTTGCCAATTCTAAGAAAGAGACGACAGATATTTGTTAGTGTGTTTTGGTGGGATATTTGCGTGAAATGACAAATACTTTAATTTTTTTCAGCAAAACAAATTCGTGTTTGAGACAGATTTACTTTTGTGAGTCAGCTGTATTCATGTGTTTATCCCTAACTATTCCTAATGTGAAGTTTGCTTCACATTTTTCAAATTTTCATAAAGAATTTTAAGAACACATTAAAAGTTTATTCGAAGCCAAGCAGAAGTACGCATTCTGCTTAAAACTTAATGAAGGTCACAAATTCAAATCAGCATTTATATTTAAAATCACTAACTGGTTTAAAAGTTTCAGTATTCTGGAGTTTTAATTTCCTTTTAGAATTTCAACTTGAAAATCGTAGTTCTTCAGACCTAGACTTGGCATTAAACAGGGGCTTTTTATGTATATATAAATAGACTGATTAAAATTTCGAAGTCTTATCTTGCAGGGTGGCTGACATTAGGAATACTGACGAGTCAGCAATTTTCTGTCACGGCAGTTCTGTGACATTGATTTACAAACTTGCATTTTGTAGAGAGATCTTTTTCATATGAAAATGTATTTGTCTAGTTTGACTTTGTTCCTGATGGATAAAATTCAGAGGCATCCCAAATGCTTGTTTTATGTATTTACTATACACTTAGGGTAATTTACAATACAGGTATCATGGGTTTTATGTGTATAGTCATAAAATTTGAGGATCTCCCTAATGGGTTTTTAAGTTACTGAGTTTCTGTCACTATGTTACATAAGAACCTAGATGACTTAAAAAAAAAATTAGTCAAGTGCCTTATTTTTGTATTTATTATAAAGTTTAACAATTTAGACTTTTAATTAGCATTTTATTAAAGATCTCCCTTTTAAATGTATTATATCTTCCTTATGTATATGTAAGATGTACCTTTTATTATTTTATCCTAATAGTTTAATATACTTCCTAAGACTTTATTATATTTGCATTTATTAATATCTTATAATAGTGTTGTTAAAACATTTACACATGGCCCTTATTTAATTTTATTTAGTTAGCATAGATGTTTTTCAGCTCTTTATTGAGCACCATGCTTTGCTTCTAGTCCCATAAATGCCTTAAAACGTCATTACACGGCTCCATAAGAAAAATGTAGTGACGGCTGGCATTTACAGAATCACATGAAATTATTTATAAATCATTTTTACTGGAATGAAAAGCGGTTAGATTTATAATGCAGTTAATCAAAGTTCTTTTTAGGAATGCAGCCATTAAACCTAATATTAAGTTTAATATGGATTTTTTTAAAGTTAAAATAGTCCTTTGTAGCTGAGGTCTGAAATATGCCAACAATGTCAGAAAAATATATCTTGTTTGAGCTAAAAACGCTATTGAGATTTAACTTTGATCCTTTAAGGACCTTACCTTAAATATTTAGGTAAGGACCATATTTCTCTTTATTTTACTTAAAGAGAAAATATGTTGTAGCATAAGTATAGGACTGTTGATAGGATACACATTTAAATATGCAGTTCTGTAAAATTTTGGGCATCAAGCATATGACAGAATTTTAGCCTGACCATCTTCCCAACCTGCAATTGAATTAATTAAACAAGATAAACTCCCCCTAGTGGCAAGTCTAACATTGAAAGTTAAATCTTTATTTCGAAGAAATACATTGTAAATGTGTTCCTTTTAATCCTACCGAAATTATGTTATACATAGTAGATGCTCAGTCAATGTTTCCTTCCTTTTCTGAGTAATGAAAGTTAGGAAATTAAAGGATCTGGAGCAGCCTTGCATCCGATCCATGTTCTTTCCTACCTTCAGAAGGACATTTTCATGGTAACTGTTGGTGTAGAATCTACTGTAGCTTTCCTTAAAATGTTGTTCCATTCTTAACAACCATGCTGAAACAAACAAACAAAAAATTAAGCCTTTTTCTTGTTTTATTTTCTTTGGAGATGATAGCGTTTTTGTCAATTTGTTGAGTTATGTTGACTCATGAAGATAGTTGAGAAGTGAATTAAGTAGAATCTGTTTTTATCTCTAGTGATAACTTTGGATATATTTTTTAAGTTTTATTTATACAGAAGACGTTTTAGTGGTATTTCATTGACTGTATTTCTGGTACTGACTGTTGGCCAAAATAGGTGCCAAGTAAATGACTTCTGCCCTTAAAAGTGATGGCAGCAGTAGTGAGCAAGCCAGCCATCAAGTGTCAGAACTGGAAATAACTTGTGAGCCTTAGCTGATTCTTTCCACTTTGTTAAAATACTCACAATGTTAATAAAATACAAAAGCAGTGTTCTTAGTACTTTTGCTAAGTTGCTCTTCATTCTGTTTAAATCTCAGGAACCTCATTATATAATACCTACTTAGTAGAATAAAATTATGCAATGTTTTTCTGAAAATGTATCATGTAAATGTAGTATGATACCATTTTCCAAATAGCCTGTAAAATAAAAGGATAGGTTTTTTTCACTTCAGTTACATAATTATTTCTCCACTATAATTATCTTCACATAGTTTTATTTAGCTAGCTTATACATAGTGACTAGGGAGGCCACTTACATACTGAAACTATGAAATGAGTAAGTGAAAATGTTTAGTTATTGGTAACATTTATTGAAAATGGCAAAAAAAAGAGGAAGCAGTGAGATATAAAGGGAAAGAGTACTAAGATAAGGTCTAGTTTTCTTGTCTTTGTATATCTGGGCAAATTCTCGACCAACGTAGCAGACCAGTGAACACCTACAACTAAAATACCACTCTTACAAGTAAATGAGCAGAACAAAAGCATTGTATAAACTGTAAAGACTGCTAAAGATATAGGAGGAACAGAAACATACATTCTATTCTTTAAATAAATGTAGCTTACATTCCCCCAGAACAATCAGTTCTTTTGTGAAACAGTAAGAGGCAGTATATGATTATGTTCTCAATTCTGGGAATGGCAGAAATGTGCTGCTTCACTGGTGAATAAACTTACACAGTGCATGCTTATTTATATAACCAATTAAGACACTTAGAAATAAGTATCATGCAAACCTTTAAAAACAATATTTTTTTTTACTTTCACACTTCTGTAAAATTGTTTTTTTCTATATAGTGGTTTAACACACACATACACAAACTGTGCTTTGTATACATCACTTATTTTTCAGCTTATTATAGTACTATGAAAAGGTGATTTTTCTGTTTTATAGACAGGGAACTAAGGTTCAAATTCAGAATTGTCAGGTAGGAAGTGAAAAAACTGAGTTCGAATATTGGACCCCAAAACTGATGTTTCTACCAACTTCACAATACTGCCCAGGTCAATAAGTTCAGCAGTACATGTGGTACATCCATTCCTAGGTATTTCCTTATTGTCCGCTCTTCTCAAATAGTAAACTTTCTAAAATACATTATTTACTGTTTCCTATACATAATTTCCCTACTTAAACCCATATTTGCTTCATACCTTTTCCTTAAGTTTTTTTTCCTCCTGACTTACTGATTTGCTCCCTCCTTCTCTCCTTTAAAACATCGCTTTTAATGGATGCATAGTACTCTGTCCTTTCAGTGTTCCATAATTTAACTATTTTGGGGGGAGGGTCTATTTTTTCCAACCTTTCAATATTTTAACTAGTTTTTCAGAGAATACCTTTGAAGTATGAATTTCTCTGCAAATTCTCAGTTATCTTCTTAGGAAAATTATACTTTTAAGGCTGAGCCAAATATTATCCCCTGAGACATAGTGTCAGATTGCTCTGCAAAAAGTTTACATTCCCATTGGTCATCTGTTCTTGCATTTTTGCTTAAAAATACTAATTTTGACAGTTAACTTTAATAGACAAAAACAGTGGGGTAGGTGATCGAACTTATTGTTGGGATTGTGGGTGGGAGGGATAGTAGTGCGGTTTTTGAAGATTTTTCTACCTGAGCCCTGGCTGGCGTGGCTCAGTGGATTAAGCACCTGCCTGCGAACCAAAGGGCCACTGGTTCACTTCAGTATGGCTTGCACATGCCTGGGTTGCAGGCAAGGTCCCCAGTAGGGGGCGCGTGAGAGGCGACCACACATTGATGTTTCTCTCCCTCTTTCTCCCTTACCCTCTCTAAAAATAAATAAAATCTTTAAAAAAATTTTTTTCTACTTGAGATGTCCTTTACATGTTGATTTGTTGTCATATATTTTTAGTCATTTTCACTTTGCTCCTATCTTGTTTTTTGAGTGCTTTAAAAATATTCCT